AAAAAACGCAGCAATCAACGCGTCTCCTTTCGGTTACGGTACCATAACGTTTAGACGCTTACATTATGAGGACGATGCGGATGCGAGCATTCTGCGATGGTCCTAGTAGAGGGTACCGCAACGTGCATCATGATGACCACATTTACCAAGAAACGGAACCATTCTTCGCCACCTCTGAATGCTTCCGATCAACGACGCTGCCCAGCGGCAACGTAAGTCTAAAACTGCAGCATCATTACAAACCCGTCACGCAGAACAATGTTTAACGATAAAAGCACTGATCGTGTGAATGAAAATCAAGAGACAAAATCTTACTTATCGACTTAAACTTATAGTATTACTTTGACGATTTTCCATTTTTCTTTGCTATTTGCAGAGCTGTTCATGTCACTAAAAGTCCGCTGATTTACATTCAAAGAAAAAAGGAATACTTCAAGTCAATCAGGACATAGGGAAAGCTGTGGACCATCCACCTACGGTGCAGCGATCAGCGCTGTTTGAATGCAGACAAAACAAATGCTAACAAAGTAAGGTTTGTACTGCAATAATAAGCGATGCTGAAGTACAAAGCCAAAATGTTCGGCAATTGCTTACTTTGCCCAGAATGGAATCATTTTCAAAGATACGACAGATATACTGATCTAAAACAATGGTAGTCTCTACCGACTTACTTCACTAGGAAAACTATTTTCAGACACTTGTCAGATATATCGGTTGAAATTGTTGATGTTCTACGCTGATACATTTCAAGCAGTGTACGGTCATTTATAAACAAACTGGATAAACAGACAAGCTATTCTTATAGCAGATCAGCGGTACTACTGCCGCGCTATTTGGTGGAATAAGTGAACAACGCTTCATACGACACTATGTGCGGAAATTAATTGCATGTTAAAAAACAGTTCGTTTCGCCTTCATAAGCAAGGTAATCGCGACGAATGGCGTTTTGGGAAAAAGTATTCACCAACAGTACCCATGTAGAGGTATGAGACAAGCGAAATTGTCATGCCAACGCTCACATACGCTCGATCGTCTTACCGCAACGCTTCGAACCCACAGCCTTAC